AACGTTAATTCGATGAGCAAAACAATGTCAGATCAACGTTTTTTCGATGTCATGTTTCCACGTTGATTCAATGTCAGTTTGCTATCTGGGAAACTACTATCAGGATTTACTAAAGACAAGACAGGCAGTGAAAAATTAGCTGAAAAGGCATGGACAGTTATTTTTGCGGCTGACCGTATTCCATATGCATTTGAGTTTCCCTTTTAGATGCAAAATTTATGGGAGGAGAGTATTTACATGATTCATACAAAGTGATTTACTAAAGTTTGCGCTAGTCAATTTACTGGTTTTGCACCATTATTGGCTCTGCACTACTTCCTGAACTTAAGCCAGCTCCTTGTTTCCTGTCTGCTATTATTGGCCAAACTTGATTAATTCAGGTATGTCTGATTATTGTTGCCGTGACTACTGAGGTCAAGCACACCTGAATTAATCAATTTGACCAATAATGGCAGACAGGAAACAAGGAGCTGGCTTAAGTTCAGGAAGTTGTGCATAAGGCCAATTCACCGCCTAATTTGCGGTGCTCTTGGTAGATCTGGCTGTGTCTGTGTTCTTTCATTTGTGCGTCGTCAGTAGATTATGTGCAGAACTTTCCACTCTCGTTAACTTTTAGTAGCCCTAAGTTTCCTAAAAAAAAAATTTAACTATAGTTTTTCAATCATTCCTTTTGCTTCGGTCTCACGTTTTAACATTGTCACTGTGATTAACTTTAACTCAAAAACAACGATTGTGTCTCTTCAGAAAATTTAGACTAAACCTCTCATTTCATTAGGATTCATCTTTCGATCTCTTTATTAACTTTCAACAAAGTAGTACATGGTCTGAGAAATCTCTCCGGTTTCTTGAAAACATCTACATTTGGGTTTCGAAAATGAACGGCTTATGCCTGGTTCAGATTGCACTTTTTTTGTCTTTTACGATAGTCACTGTGTCGGATTACGTGATTTTGACTCCTAAAAAGAAACATGTCAGGCTACACGTTGCTTCCTGACCAGTCGTCGCATGCCGTCTTTAGCGGCGCACGTGATGTCATCGAGAATGCAAAACTAGTAGCGAGTGACTTCCGGAAACGAACGTAAACAAACAATGCATGAAGCGGTGAGTGTTATATTGGCTGTCCTGTGTTCAGAAAAAAACAGAAGAGGACAGTGTGGGCTGTCAATCCTCCAAAGAGAACTTGAGGTAAAATATTATTTTCTTATATATGTGACGGAACCGTCGTGGACGACCATTAAAAAAATGAAACATGCTTGTCTTTTTGTCGTGATGTCGCATACGCGACGTGGGTTGTCGCCGACTATGACACACTATGCGAGATAATACGATCGAATCTTGCGTCCCGACGCCCGTTGTCGTTTTCAAATCCCCACGACACCCTATATACGTCAAACGGATCGTGCCAAAATCGGGCTAAAATTGTGTAATCTGAACCAGGCATTATGGGTTTGGAAAGACATAAAATGTTCAGTTATGGGCAAAGTAACCATTTAAGCTGAAAGTTTATTTCATTTCTGTGATTCAGTTAAATAATTACGTTAGTATTGTTCGTAACTTTGAATTTAAAAGCCTTGATGATAAACTGTGAAAAGTTTTGTGAAAAGACCAAAAACTATTGAGATATATTGTTTTACTATATCATCCAGACTTATCATAAAAGCAGTAGAAGGAATTTAAAGGAAGAGACCAGTATGTGAGCAGATGACAACAAATATGTCTATAGGCAGTGAGAAGAGTGATGTCAGCAGGAAGTGATGTCATTATCATTATAGGGGCCAGACTTAGGGGGGAAGAGGTTAAAGAAAGAGACGGCGAAGACAAAGACACAGTTCTGCAGTGTGCTCAGATCTTGCCGCAGTGGAGACCTCCATTCCAAACTGGGGGGAGGGATTACATAACACATGGAAAATCATCCAAAGAACGAAAACAGTCCGGCCTCTGTGTTGCCAAAGGAGCCTGTTCCACCCTCTCTCGCAGCCTATAACACAGCTGATGGATCCAATTTATCTACACTGCAGTTCAACAGAGTTCTTGGAGTCCACTTTCATACGCAAAAGTTACACACAGAACTATGTTTAATAGACTTTGTTCCCCAAAACAGATCCACTAATAAAGATCAGATGAAGGTTTTTAAAAAGGGTGCAATATAAAGTTAAATGTGAGCCATGTAAACTGAGCCGCCATGATGCTAGTGTGTTGTGAGTTTTTTACATCAAAGAAGGCGAAGACCCAGAGCACACCTACCTATTGCGTCATCGCCACAGGCCAAAGGTACTTTACGATCTAGAGCAAACTTTTCCAGAAAGTCCGCTTCGGCAAGGCTGAACTCTAAGCGAACTTTGTTTAGGCCTGATTTTGTTTGGAATGACGTCACACCAGTTCGTTCTTTGATTTTCCCTGAAGAGTATCTGAGATTTTTTTCACCCATTTTATGGTCCACTGGATGAAAACCATAAATCTGGTCAGATAGAATATAGGCTAATAGTAGTAGTACACTTTTCCAGTGCAAAGCACCAAAGTTTATTAGGGTGGGGAGGAGCCTAAACATTCAGTCCTGTCCATCATCATTACGGACGTACTATATAAACAGCAGACACCACACCATCCCATTGACAAACTCCGGCAGCCCTCCTCCTCCAGTAAACTATCTCTATCCTCTAATGCGAAATTCCATCATATAGGGGGGTTTTAACTCTGAGCTCAAGCCGAGGCTCAGGTTCAAGCCTGGGTAGCCTCGGGTAGTTTACTATTAACCTTTAAGGCTGAATGGGCAGGCGAACTAGTGTATTTAAGTTAGGGGGTTTGTTCAAAGTTTGGCAGTACATTTAAAGTTCTTTTGCTGATAAGTTACTCACCCCCATATCTTCCAAGATGTCCATGTCTAACTTTCTTCACTCGAAAATAAATTACGGTTTTTGATGAAAACATTCCAGCATTTTTCTCCATACAATGGACTTCAATGGGAACCAAACAGTTCAAGGTCCAAAAGACAGTTTCAGTGCAAACTGCAAACTGTTCAAAGGGATTTAAACGATTCCAGACGATGAATAAGGGTCTAATCAAGCGAAACGATCGCTCATTTAAAAAATAAATAAAAAACTAAGTTTTATAAGCACAAATGCGTGCCTTGCTCGGTTCTGTGATGAGCGTTCATGACTAGATAAGATAATAACTAGGGCCTGGATAAGACCCTTATTCGTCGTCTGGTGTCATTTAAAACCCTTTGAACAGTTTGTACTGAATCTGTCTTTTGGACCTTGGACCGTTTGGTTCCCATTGAAGTCCATTATATGGAGAAAATCCTGAAATGTTTTCATCAAAAACCTTCATCTCTTTTCAACTGAAGAAAGAAAGACGTGGACATCTTGGATGATGGGGGTGAGTAAATTATCAGCAAAAGTTTTTTTTTTAAAAGTGAACTACTATCTGCATGCAGAAACTTAGAAGAGTCCGACAAGACAAGAAGGTATTTAAATGACGAACTAATTTGCTTCTAATGTGCCAAGTGCAGCAGGTCACTTGATAAAAAGTGTCTGTCAAGCGAATGTCTATTAGCACTTATTGGTCACATTTGTGGGTCGCAATCAATGTATAATAGCTTATTATTTCAGTCCTATCTGAGGCTCACTGTATTTACATTTATATTCCTAGCAAAAACAACTGACATGTGGTCTTCACTCCAGGATTTGCCTCTGTCTCAGACTAACCCTGAGGCCAGGACAGACCTTGACTCTGTTAGTGTGTGGTCTACCTCCCTCAGTCAGACGTGTGCTGCCAAGGGGAATCATGTGACCCTGGAGAGGGATGGGTAGGGGAACCAATTTCTTTCTGCTTTAATACAAGCAAATGCTTACTTTTACTGTAATAGAATACTATGAATGAGCCTAAAGGTATTAGACATGGTGATCCTCTTTGCACACAACTGTTTTAATGCACACTCTGGGTGTTTAATATTGCAGAATAAAATGCATAGACATAGTCTAAGCTGTACATCATACTGTACAAATCTGTGCCAACCTCTGACACCTTAACAACATACAACTGTTAGTCAACTTTGCAATGTCTCTGCATGCATACACATATCAGCTGACAAATCGGATACAGAAAAAGATGGTTTATTCTGATCTATGTAAAGATTTACAAACACACCTGAAATGCACAGACTGTTCATGCAAAAACGCAAATAGAAACAATCAATGCATTCTGTTGTCTACAAAACTATTATGCCCTTTGCTGGAGACGAAACATTGTTCATACCTTATATGAAAACTGAAATTAGTTTATTAATGCAAATTGCTCACAAGCATTTATCAGAATATAGAATATGGTAAAATAAGGTTAATGTTAGGATGGTAAAAAAAAATAGATTAATCTGCAGATCCTATTGAGATGCTATGAAGAATATTTAAATGCAGGGGGAATCTTTTTATATAAAACAATGAAAGCGTAGTGGTGCAATATGGCTGCGCACAATCTCTTTGTCAAATGACATATAGACAAAAGGAATTTTATCAAACAAATTGCAGCTGATGGCAAAATATTTTTGGTTTCAATGTTTAAGCAATCTAGACAAAGGGACAAATAATGAATAATAAATGTAACTCATGATCAAACATAAATCAAATAAAATAAATACAATCTCAGATTAACAGCAGGTATAATATAATTTAACATTTTAAAGAAAATAACACTGGATTGAAAAATAATAGCCTTTCTTTTACATTTTGCCAGGTGAGAATATAGAATTGCTCTTTATTTATATACAAGGAGACTGACATACATTAGACGTATTAGCTTATAAACAATGTTCAGATGCTTGATATGAATAGGTATTATAAAACCCTTTAGCCAGAATATATCTAACACAATTTCTAAAACCATGCACAAAGTCTACCCTATTGTCAAAGAATCAATGTTATGCATCAATAATAAGATGAACACGTGTGTGCTTCTAAAAAATAATAATATCGCAGTGCAATGGAAAATAATGCAACACCTACCCCTTTTGCTCCAGATTTGATTAAGTTGTAACTGATATTCCATTTCAGGTGTGTGGTTTTTCTTTGGGCACTTTGTCTCGAGCCCTTTTCCATGTGCTTAGAGCACGCGCTCCGCGGCACGCGCTGGATACAGTCACATACAGTCGATGACGTCACATTGCCCTGATACAGCTACGTCGGGAAAAAAAATCACAGCTTTGTTAGTCGGCATGGAAATAGATTTGTGCAAAAGACAGTGATTGCATTTGATAGAGCTCAGCACTGAGCGTTTTGACAAATGAGAAAGAGTGCAAAGCTTTGACAAGCATGCTCGTTGATGCAGGAATTGTCTGAACATAGGCTACAGCTACATCATATCATCATCATCATCATCATACAAAATGGTTTATAATCAGACATTTATATTAACATAGGACAGGAATTTGTTATGAAAAACACTGTAGTAGGATAATAGACTACTGCACATGACATATTTCCAAATATGATGTGAATTATGGGGCGTCATAGAGTTTCAAACATTTTAGTAAGCTAAACACAAAAGATGGGTTAGTCAGTCGCCTATTTATATATTCAGTAAATAGACGTTTGCGAACCGAAATCGCGTTCCCTTGAAGTAACCATAGCAACAGCAGATCAAACGGAATAGAATGGAACATTGTTAAAACATACAACATTGTCATTATTTAACAGTTCTGCTGCTTTATAATAAAAAAACGTATTTTTTATAAATAAAAACGTTATTGTCAGCAAATAAATATTAAAGGAGTAGTTCACTTTTAAAAAAAAAATGCTGATAAGTTACTCACCCCCATGTCATCCAAGATATCCATGTCATTCTTTCTTCAGTCGAACAGAAATTAAGGTTTTTGATGAAAACATTCCAGGATTTTTCTCCATATAATGGACTTCAATGGGAACCATATGGTTCAAGGTCCAAAAGAGAGTTTCGGTGCAAACTGCAAACTGTTCAAAGGGCTTTAAATGATTCCAGACGATGAATAAGGGTCTTATCAAGCGAAACGATCGCTCATTTAAAAACAAAAACAAAAAAGTTTAAGTTTTATAAGCACAAATGGTCACCTTGCTCTGTTCTGTGATGCGCGTTCGTGACTCTCCTGTTCGAACTCGTTTATCAAAATGAACAAATCTTTTTTTCTTGTAATTTGGTTCATTCAACGAAAGAAATGAACGAGTTGACTCGGGAAAAGGTTCGTTCATTTTGATGACTGTTTGATGAGAGTCACCAACGCGCATCACATAACAGAGCAAGGTGACCATTTGAGCTTATGAAACTTTAACTTTTTTTTAAAAAAAAAATTTGTGATCGTTTCGCTTGATAAGACCCTTATTCATCGTCTGGAATCATTAAAAGCCCTTTGAACAGTTTGCAGTTTGCACTGAAACTGTCTTTTGGATCTTGAACTGTTTGGTTCCCATTGAAGTCCATTATATGGAGAAAAATCCTGGAATGTTTTCTTTTCGACTGAAGAAAGAATGACATAGATATCTTGGATGACATGGGGGTGAGTAAATTATCAGCAAACGTTTTTTTAAAAGTGAACTACTCCTTTAAGGTGGCTCATGGTGAACTTTTGGAATTTTCTTTGAAAAAAAATGTTAATCTTAAAAAAAGTCTTAAAAGTCTTAAAATCTTAAAGACGTCTATCAGATGTTAGCTAACAGCAGATGCTTTCCAGACATGTGGCAGACGTACTTGTGCTATCTAATGTTCACTTATCGTCACACCTTGGTATATAATTTGAAAGCAACAAGGTTATTGCCCGCCATGTTATTTTTACTAGGGTTGCACAATTAATGCCTAAAACAAATTCATATTTACACTTCCTTTTTGCGGTAGCTGTTTAAGCCTACATTCTGTGCCATCATTGTCAAAGAGTAATTATCTGGTGAAGTGGATAGAGTTAACAAAATATATCATGGGCATTGCAATATTTGAAGCGGATGACATAAATGTCAGTAGACCAGGAGGATTTTAATACAAGCGGTTAGTTCAAAAATCCGTAAGATTGATGCTCTGGAAATATAAACCGGAAAAGGTCTATTGGTGCATGCTATATTTTTTTTTTTTTTTTTTTTTTTTTTTTTTTTAAATAGTACAATTTTAAAGTGAGTGGACCTTGGTGAAATAGGAACAATGCCTCACAAACTATTATTTTGCAATTAAGACCATTAAGATTAAATGTGATTTAGCTATTTGTCAGCCAATAGTTTCGTTAAAACAACATAATCCATTCATAATTAAAATAACAAGTGAACAGAATTATATTTACAACATCTTTCTTCAGCCTAGAGCAATGTAGCCAATCACAGACATGGCAATGGCCAATCAGATGTGTAGAATTCACTTACCACTCAAAGCTGGAGTTTTTGTCCAGTGCTGAGTTCTGCACACTCATAACTCCTCTCATGTTATAATCGAGTGTATAGAAATTATGAAGAGATTCACTGTGCAGTGTAGACACCTTCATTGATTATATAAGATTTCGTCATCGCGGACCGCTTTTTTATTTTTTTTTTTTTATATAGGCTGATATTTGTATTAGTTACTGCAGCAGGTGCTGTATCAGGATCAAGTGGATTCACATATTTATGTTCTTTTGATTGGGGACCTAAATATTCATGGTTTGAAAGTGAAACAGTTGTAAAATTGACACTCCACTACTGCAGTTCTGTGAATGTTTTGCCCAACAGGTCTCAGTCACGTGACTGAAAATAGATGTTCACGAAAAGAAATCGCGTTTCCTTGAGGTAAATCCTTCAACTGTCTCTCGAGCTGAATCGTACGGAACAATTACTAAACGCTGTCATTATTTAACACTTTATTGTTGATTTATATGCCTATTAAAATATTATTTTCGGCAAAAATAATAATTACAAATATTAAACTTCAACATTGCGACCTTAAATTAACATTTAAAAATTAAAGTTCAGTCATCATCATTAACTCACCGTCAAGTTGTTTCAAACCTCTATGAATCTCTTTCTGCTGCTGAAAACAAGATATTTTAAATAATGTCGACAACCAGACAGTTGATGCTAGCATTGATTTCCATAGGGAAAACAGTCAATGGGGTCCTTCAACTGTTTGGTAGCCTACCAATATTATTAAAAATATTATTTTGTGTTTAGCAGAGGAAATAAGTTCAGGTTTGAATCAACTTGAGGGTGAGTAAATGATGACAGAATTTTCATTTTTCTAAGTGAACTTCTCCTTTAAAATGTCCTTTTAAAACTCATTTAAAAATCTAAAAGGTATAATTTACAAAGTCCACAATTATACCTGCAGTGATGCTGCACTGATTTCTGAGTGGTTTACAGCTCAAGTAAACAGCTCAGACTGCATTAGAGCTTTGCCACATCCATGACAGATGCTCCATGAGCCCTTCTTCTAAACTATTGAGGTCTGTGGCATGATGTGACTCATCTTCACCTCTAAAATCTGAGGTGAATCATCTGAAAGTGGCTTCACTTTCTGTCAAAATTCCCTTTCCAGGCAGCGGTCCTCACAATACCTTTGCATTGCCTTTCACTTTAGGACACTGTTGCTTATTGAATGCCAAATATAAAAGAGCTCAACTTTAGCTGAAATCTAGCTGGGTGGGGATGCAATTGAATATTTTTGTTGTGTGTGTGCTTAAAAAAAATGCAATTATACATTTAATTTTAGACAGGTGAAAACTTACTGACCTTTATAACTTGGGAAATCCCTGAAATGATTAACAATATGTGATATAAAACAAAGTGAACTAACAAGCAAAGCATTAATAGTCCCCACAGTGTCTGATCTGTGAATGAGGAGATCAGCGCAAAGAGACCAAAAGAGTCAAGTTCAGAAAAAAAAAAAATCATTTATGATTAAGTGAAAACATGGAAAAACCATATAGTGAAACAGAATATGGTTTATGAGAACACAATAGCTGATACAGATCCAAAAATACCTTTCTTAGGAAATATTAATTCATTATATACAAAAACATACAAAAGATTTTTACTTTAGGGTTGTGTAGCCCTGTTTTTTTTTTCTTATTTTCTTAATAAAAATAAATGACTTAAATACAAATTATTTTAACCGCCTTCAATTTTAAACGTTCGGCAGTTTCGAACATGGAAAGAACTGACAATATTCAAAAGAAAAAGAACGCTTTGGACATGCAACATCATCACAACTATAGACAGCAACAGTCTTTAACTTGCATAAAAAAGCTCGGGGGTGGGGTTCTTTAAAAGTCTTTTCGAACTCTTGTGACACAGATTCATTAATGTGAACTCCGCAGCTGCTGCAGCCTGTGTTTTAACTGTTCGCTCTTTCGCCTCAGCTGTTCCTTGATGGACAGCAGCCTCTGCTCATCCATCTGCATGCTATGGATGCACTCTGTCGCCTTCTTTAGGATAACCACTTTAGCGGCTTTCTCGTTATTCGCGACCTCGGGAATCTCATCCCGTAGTGCAAAAAAGCTGAGTTTGAGTTCGTTTCTGCGCTGGCGCTCCAGCACATTGTGAGTCTTGCGCTTGTCATTGTCCTCAGAATCCGACGTTCGGGGACTCGAGCACTTGCGTTGCTTCACGTGCCTGTTGGTGTTGCTGCTGCTGCTGCTGTTGCTGGTTTCCAGTCGTAGCCTCTTGACAGCCGGCTGGTCGTGCCGTGTGGAGGGGTGGGCGGCGTAGTTGTGCTGGTGGGTGGAGACGTGACAGCGCTTCAACACCAGGGGACTGGGGTGCCTCGAATCCGACACCTCCGTCTCACTCCTTTTCTGTCGCCTTTCCACTGTCACCACATCAATTTCTTCCTCTTCTTCTTCTTCTTCCTCCTCCTCCTCCTGCTCTTCTTCCTCCTCCTCCTCCTCCTCTTCATCATCATCTTCTGCAATGGCATAAAAACAAGAGAATTATTAACTTTAAACGTCAGTTCATTTTAAATACAGCAGAATGGGAATATAATGGAATTTGGCTAATGGCTTTCCACAAAGGATGGGGTGGGTGTTCTGCATTCCAGTCACCTCCCACTTTCCCTGTCAGCTGATATTTGAACATTGCAGAGTTTCCTACAGATCTGACTCGGAGGTGGAAACTGAGAAATCTTATGCAACTACAACATGCATAAAGTCCACTGGTGACAACAAGTAAAGGTCACTTAAATGAAAGCACTAGCACATGAGGATACCAGCTAGATCAAGATTATGCGATTCGTAGAGGTGACATAAAGCATGACATACCTGAATCGCTGCCACTGCTGCTGGAGCTGTTAGGTGGAGTGTCCAGGACCAGCATGGGCTGCGATGGTGCAACCTTGCTAATTTTGCAGGACCCAGTGAGGGGATAAGGAAAGACCACGGAGGGGTCGATGCATTCTGATGCCGAGGTGCTCAGATCCTGCAAATAACTTGCATCGAGTCGATTCGAGCTGCTGTCAGAAATCAGTTCCTTCCTCGCAGCATGCAGGGACTTCAGTCTCTCGGAAACCACTTTCTCCAACTTGGCAGCGGCGGAAAAGCCGCTCCACATGCAGTCCTGGATGATGATGGACTTGAAGACGGACTGGGAGTAGTCCGCGTCGCAGATGAAGCTCTGGTTGACCACGTCGTCTCCCAGGAACTCGCTGACCATCTCCAGCTGTTCGGTGGTGGAGAGCGACTGTCTCCGGCTGGGCGAGAGGGGTGGTGTGGGCAGAAGCTCGAATTTCTTCCAAATGTCCTCACTGGGAGCTGGAGGTTGAGTCTGTCCTTGCTGATGGTGATAGAAATCCTCATCTTCGTTGTCGAAGTAGAAATATGGTTGGATGGAGTCGTAGTCGTAATCGTAGTTTTTATACGCCAAACTCGCACTCACCGGCATTTTGACACTTGTGAGAGAAATACAATTTGAAATTATTATGGTGCATATGCAACGTTCACCTAAAGTGCACATATTTAGACTAGTGAGAAAATGAAGTAAATAGTGCAACTAAAAGACAGCATGTGTAAAAAGGAAGAGAAGGAATCCCAAAGCGGGGGTTAATACCAAAACATTTCAATGCATCCCTGATTCTACTGTTCGTTTAGAGCGTGCAACATGCAAAAGAAAAGATAATCGGCACAAAAGAAAATATATTTGCATACCATCACAAACGCATGCTGCTCTTGAAGTGTAAAAGATGCATGCAACATCAGATACCGGATACTTAACTTACCGTGTATTTGACAAATGCAGCTTCAGAATGGCTTCTTTCGAGACGCAATGCAATGAAAAGACAATAAAAAATAAGATGCAAGAATTAAAATCCAACAGATTACTCCGGTCGCTTGACGCATAAGTGGAATCAGAGTCGCGATCAAATGGAAAGTGATGTGAAATGTAATGAAGGCTGTGCGCTTGTGCACCTCTCAGAGGCTGGACAGACTGATCGCTTGTGTGACAGGGGCAGGATGAATAAGTTCTGGAGCTCCCGCGAGCTCAAGCTGCGCCCACTGACGTATAGTAAAATTTCCCGCCAAACGAAAACACGGTTGTTGTGCGTGTTAAATCAACTCGTTAGGCTCACACATCAAAAAATAAACCCAATGTCTTATTTGAAATCATAATTCGTCTTTATTGGCGTAGAAGATATGCTGCATCTATCTCTGAATCCGATAAATATGGGACTATTTCTTCGCGGAATGACAAAACGTTGAGTGGGTTGGCTTTGACGTCAGTGGCGGAGCGTTTTTATTGTCAAGCATTGACAGCTCATTTGAAAATGGCATTTTTAATTATTATTATTATTTTTTTTTACATTAGTAGCTTAGACAAGGATACAACAAAATCAAATCTTATATATTTCGGTCTTATTATGTTTTTAATATCACAACAGAGAGGCAAAATGGGTTAAAAGAAAACACATTTTTGTTATTTTAAATAGAAACAGCAATAAAACAGAGCAGTATGCTTTCTGTTTTGTGTATGTGTTTTTAAATGTATTTCTTTATTTTCTTTCATCATATATTTTGTGTGCTGACAAAAAAGAGTTTATTTTTAGGGCTGTGACGAAGCATATGGATTATTTATGTTGCTGCAACATAACAATAAAGAAATGTAACCATCATCATACAGTTAGCATGTCAAAGTCATCTAGCAGTAGTTCTGAACCAGGGTCACAGGGTCCACCAGGGGCCCTCAGTAAATGGCCTGGGATTTTGTGAGATGCCTTAAATTGTTAGGTTATTTCATAATAATTGAAATTGGCTTTGCCATTATGTGGTTTTGGAGACAAAAAGTTCAGAGCCATTGTACTAAATACAATGTGTTGGTGTATGGAAATTTGTTTTCAATGAATGAAACAACACATCCTTCAGACATATGGATGATGAAATAATTATATAAATGATAAAGAGTGGTTCCACTAAGTGAAGCATATAGCAAACATACTAACTCACAGTACTAGAGTGTTATATAAACATTTGAGTTTAACTATAGTTTATCCATGGAGTTATATATTGGGGTAGACACATGTTTAATTGAATGTAGAATGTGAAAAATATATATATAGAGAGCACAGATGCATTTTTAAATAAAATGAATGTCATATTCTACATATCGTTGTACTTAAAGATCTTTGACTACAATTAACAGAAGACCTTTCTCCTAAGCAATGATCATAAGACTAGACTAGACTATTTTAAAGACCCCACAACAGGATGGTTTATAATACGTTGGTATGTGGCGCCCTCTGCTGTTAACTATTATAGTGATGGTGATCAACGTTCAGTTGATTTGCACCAAATAAAGCCTAAGTTACCTTCATCAACTGCCTTCCATTGACAATAATCTATATACAATTATATCTAAGAATGTAAAGATTATAGGACGAAGTCAGTAAAAGAGGGACATCAGCTAAAATTGGAAAATACGCTTTTTGGTGTAGTGTGTTTTGTTTTAAATTGCTATGATGGTGGGTGGTCTTGAAATGTTGTAATGGATACTTAATTTGAATATCAACATTTTATTGTTTAAGGAAAACCACGTGGGCGTGGTTACTACTCAAGTGCTGGAATGAGAAGCCATGTCAATGGGTTTTTCAATCTAATACAGTCAGCATACATACATACATATATATATATATATATATATATATATATATATATATATATATATATATATATATATATATATATATATATATATTAAATCATGTTTTATTACTGTACCAATTTTTACCTTTAATGTGTTTGATACACAATGTGAGAAATTATTTTGTTTTACAGAAAATGTCCCAAAGCTATGGGTAGAAAGGGAAAAAAAAGGGAAAACATGTCATCTGAGAAGGAACTAGCAAACATGTTCAAGTTTCTTTCCCAGTTTTTTTTTTCCCAGAATATATATATACATAATATATAATGTTTTTCTGAAACTAAAAATGAAGCAGGTTCATATCAAATTTGTATTTAAATTTAAGTTATTTGGCCCCCTGGAAGATCACTGAGGACCCCTGGTGGGCAACGGCCCTCTGGTTGAGAACAACTGTTAAGTGTGTCTAATGTGTTTATAAAGTTATTCTTTTACACTTTGAACAGGCAAAAATATATATTGAGAAAAACAAAATGTGTAGCCTACAAAATCCTGTTGTAGCAATTATATTATCCAAGCACAAAAGATGAAAATATCTGTCCCAATTTACCTGAAAACGGCAAGAACAACAACAACAAAAAAATCTTATCATTTTAAACACCCATTTTCCTTCAAAAATACTTGACGAAATCATCATTGAGCATGTGTTAACAACTTTAATAGTGTAGATAGCATTTATATTTACACAGTTTACCAAAAAGTGTCATAATCTTGCTGACTTCGCCCTATGTATGATCATAGATTTACAGACAAAAGGAGATTCTGCAAAATGAGATGCTTATTTATAGTAAAAGGGATTTTAACCCGTAGCTAAAAATAATCTAGAAACGTTATATCCTAAAATGAACAATTTCATTATGTGGCGTGCTCTTATTTGGGAAAAAAGTGGCCTGATAACCTAATAACAAGTGTTACAATTGCCATCAATTGCCCCTGTACACTGTATTAATTGACTATAATCAAAGTGTTAGTCTTTGTTATAATGGTCTAATCTTTCTCAATGCCAAACAGAAAGCTATTGATTAGGTGTGGGGTGGTGTTAACAACCGGATGTGGGTGAGATTGGGATGTGATAGGGGATGAGATTATTAGGATTAAGCACGGCACCTTTAAAACGAGGGAGGGAGTAATAATTTGGCAGTGAGTCTTTCCATGTAACATCCAGCAGAGGGCAGCAGATATTAAAAACAATATAAAGGTAACTTCTCAATATTTCTTATTAAACCATGTCCGTTGACATTTGGTTCTAATTGCATCTTTCAAACACACAGACAAACTAATATACCCTACATTAAAAAAATAATAATTAAAAAATAATAATAATGAAACAATCTTCACTCTTCCTGGTGACTGGCGCGAACAGCTGGAGTAGGGCTTGGTTTTGTGACGCGTCCCACGTGTGTTCTACACGAAAATAAATAACACGCGCGAGCGCGCTCAGCCGACATTCCTTCAGTCCGCGAGACATAAAAATGCTGCATTTCATCTGTCTCCTACATCAGCACTTTAATTCGCGGGTTAATGTCGATATGATATAATGCGGAATGTTTGGATGACCTTCTCATCGGAAGCGCTGGGAATGTGTCTCCAGTTTTTCCAGTTTGATTACAGGCACCTGGAAGCCCGTAAACCATAAAGCAACTCTTCAATGCAGCCCGACACGGACGAATGCTTAAGTATTATTATCATCATTCATCATAATGGACTGTCTATCACGCACTGCGTACTGGCCTCTTATTCGCTTTCTGCTGCCACTGGCCATTACTAATATAGCCATAGACTTCGGAGAACAGGTGAGATATTATGACATTATAGATTTGAATTTGTACAACCTGCTATTTTGACATGACTGGTTTCGTTTGTTACTTGAGTGAGCTTCCCCTTTAAATGACGCTATTTATGGCGTTGCTTGCTATTGCGATAGAAATGAATGAAAAAAGATGTATTTCTCCGCCACATGTAACGTTACTGTAAGGGTGCGTTAAATACGGAATGTTAAATTGGGTTTAATGTAAATACGTTAAAGTTTTGTGAAGATGCGTGAAGGTCATGGACAGGTAGGGTCCAATAGTGGGTAGGCTAGTATTTTTCATGAATCCCATTTAGATGTGGCAATGGTGTGGCGCAGTGGTCAAAGTCTTGAGCTCGAAATCTAAACGTTTTTAGGATCAAATACCACAAGAGGTGATAGTGCTCAAGGGCAAGGGCACAAATGTCATAATATGTCAATTTAAAGGGTTACTTAAGTAGTCAACAAAGAACAAAGACATAAATTACCTGAGACAAACCTTGGTAAAAAAACAATCAAATTGTGGGAAAAAAAACAAACAAATTGTATCAGATTTGAGGGTAGCAGGAGGGTTAATCTAATAATCCCAGTCTCTTTGGATAACTAAATTATAACACCTTTTTGTCCAGATGTTACGCATATCCTTTGTCCTTTTTGTTAGGCATCACTATCTATATATATATATATATATATATATATATATAATAAAATATAAGCATAATATGTGTGTGCTATGTATAATTATTTTATATAAATACATATGCATGCATGTATAGATTTGCATGTAAATACTGTATATATATAATCTAAATATTTTATATTAATAACACATTTTCTTAAATATATACATGCATGTGTGTTTTGAATAAAAACTTTTATTTTGGATGTGATTAATCACAATTCATCTTTGCACAGTCTAATACACACACACACACACACACACACACACACACACACACACACACACATATATATATATATATATATATGAAGAGTTCAGATGCAAAAGCCTCTAAATGACATTTGAAATTTTCTTGAATGATGATTTTTATCAAACTTGTATATTTAAGTTCAGTAATTTCACTTAAATAACAATTAATAGGTAATTATCATTGCCATTTAAGTGAAATTACTGAACTTAAATATACAAGCTTGATAAAAATGATCATTCTAGAATAAAATTTCAAATGGCACTTAGAGGCTTTTGCATCTGAACTCTTCATATATATATATATATATATACGTATATATACTGTATATATGTATGTATATATGTATGTATGTATGTATGCACAGCAATTAATACCCTCCAGGCACTTTAAAACATTTTCTTAGTAAATCGCCTCTTTTGGATTACAAAATATTATAAAAAATTATCTAGGTGGTTACATGCTTGCAAATATTATTATACCTTTTTACACATGTGCTTAAAGGCCTTAAACAGTTATCGAGGTTTAACCAAAAACCTCCTCCACAGCAACATATGTGTCGTTGTCGGCCCAGATCTAGCCCACATCTGGCACATGTGGATTCCACACTTTTATGCTGTCTAGACTATACTAGTTTGCGAAAGTAGTTTTTTAAATGATCTCCAATATTTAATCAACGATTCGATTGAGGCGGTCCTGGAGGCAAAGTTGCTCAGAATGAGGAGAAAGAGGCGTTTCTTTCGAATTGGCCTCTAGGGCCCAGCTGTTTCCAATCGGCCTCCGTTAACCTTGTCTGACAGCTGGTCGAACTTCATGGCCATATTTTCTGAGATGCGTGAATGTCCTTGTAGACAAGCGTGGCACCTTGGAAAAAGACACCGAACGACAGTCTTCAAGTCAATTGGACTGACTGTTGCGTAGCTATAGCCGTTTTTGTGTTTTTATTTTTTTTTTTAGAGCGCCACCAAGTGGCCAGCTGCCACATCTTTTTACACGCGACCACCACAGACTGACCCCATACATAGTGTACCGAGTTGAGTGAAATTAGGTGTATTCGACATCGGCTGCGGCTGGATGTATCTGCCCGATCACTTTTAGGGGAGAATGCTGATTATTGGAAATTATGTCATGCATAGTCATGCGTTTTATTGATTGAATTTCCCAGAATGCAGTAGGTTTTAAGTCAGTTCTTGAGGATGTGGTCTCTGTGTGGTTGAATAGTCTACTCTTTTTACATAACATGCTACTATGACTGCCACTCTTTTTAAAGTCAAATAAAGGTCCGGTTATTGAGTCAGGGAACTTTTAAAATACATCTGCTTCAAAAAAAAAAAAAAAAAAAAGTTACAGTAGATGTCCTCAGTGAAATCTGGGATAAAGACCTGTTTTTAAGATTAGTGTCTTTTACATATATTGGGTCCAGAGAAGAAATTCAGATGGCAACAAAAGCAGTGCGCACAAATCTTTACCCTTTTCATACTACTGATAACCTCTGATAACCTCCTTTGAACCCGCAGTCACGTCCATAAATTAGATGCCTTTACATTTGTCATACAGTAATAACTCATAATGGATTTAACTGAAAGGTTGACTGTGGAGATAATCTTTTAAATGTGTTCAAATGGCTTGGACATCACTATTAAGATTATTTTTTTATACTATTGGATATGCACTGATGATTTGTAATCATAGGACGGTTCATCAGGTTCATTTGGGTGCAAAGCTCAACCAAGTTGGGTTTGATAAATAGTTTCTGCCCATGTTACTTTATGCTCTGGCACACTGATCTGTTAATGCATGTGTTTCACATTGAAATTTAACATGTGCCTAGGTTTTTGTCCTGTAGTGTTACAGTAGGACAGTGACGTCTTATCTAGTACCAGTGTGTGTGTGTGTTAGAGCGAGGAGTAGACGGGGTAAGGATTAGTCTTATGTAACCATTGTGTGTGTGTGTGTGTATTTATAGTACCACTCTTATTGTCCCTCTGTCTGTCTTGTTCTTACTCTGCTGTTGACAGTTGCATAAATAGGGTACAAAAATGTATTTTCCATGTGAGTACTGGTATATATTATGTAAAAAAAGGATAATCTTTTATTGGAAAATTAAACAACATTGGTATCAAAGTTTAATAGTTTCTTTAATCTTAAACAACTAAGATCAAACTACTTAAAAAATCACCTTTCAAATTTATAATATAAATTACATCAGCATATGAGAGTCAAATTGGATGACTAGGGACTCTTTTCAAGATTACTCATTTAACAGTTCATCTATGAAAAAAAGATCAGTGAAGAATAGAAAGTCATTGAAATCGAGAATGTCTGAATCAGAATGTGTAGTTCGTGCATAAAAAATACCTGTCAAAAACAACACATTTTGAGCAATGTTCACTAACCCAGCAAAGTTTTTCATTTGGTTTGGCACTTATTCTCTTTCACATCCGGTGTGAAGCTAATTCACATAGTTGCTTGACCATTCTGATTCAGTTTCAACAAGGGAAGAACAAATTTGTACTCGGGTGCGTTATGTATTACGTTATCATCTCTAAAAGACAGCATGTTGAAGCTGCTCAGGCATCCATATATATATATATATATATATATATATATATATATATATATATATACAGTCATTGAGATAAAGACAGTGAGATTGCTTGCTCAACATAAGCTAGTCCTGCATTATCAGAATTCCTCTGAAACCCCCCACCTCCCCCAGCTTCACCTGCCTAGATCTGCTACAGGATATATGTATGTGTATTTATTTATATGCAACAGTCGCGTGTCTGTGTATCTATTAACAGTAGCAAGTCAAGTCAACTTTATTTATATAGCACTTTTTACAATACAGATTGTATCAAAGGAGCTTCACAGTGATAACATGAAAATAATACAACAAAGTTTGTTTCTAGAAGACAATTGCTTCAACGTCCACCTTAAGCAAGGCAGATCAATAATATAGTTGAATATTAAATGCCCATAACTAAGCAAGCCAAAAGCCAAGGCAACAGTGGCAAGGAACCAAAACGCCATAAGGGACAGAATGGAGATAAAAAAACCATGGGAGAAACCAAACTCAGTCGGGGGCCAGTTCTCCTCTGGCCAGCGAAGGAACAGTGTGCGATTGGTATCAAAGAATACACCCAGGTTCCTAACTGATGACGAAGACTCAACAGAGCAGCCATCAAGTGTTAGACAGTGTTCTAGGTTATTGCGTGTGGAAGTTTTTTTTTCTCTAAAAATTAGAATCTCTGTTAAACCCTGTTAGGTTTTGAAGAAATGTACAGCTGAGTATCATCAGCATAACAGTGAAAGCTAATTCCATGTTTCCTAATGATATTTCCTAATGGTAGCATGTACAGAGTGAACAGCAGCGGTCCTAGTACTGAGCCTTGTGGTACGCCATACTGAACTTGTGATCGATAAGACATCTCTTCATTACTGCTACAAACTGATAACAGTCAGATAAGGATGATTCAAACCATGCTAATACAATTCCACTAATTCCAACATAGTTTTCTAGTCTATTTCAAAGAATGTTGTGGTCAATTGTGTTAAATGCAAAATGTCCAAAATAAAAAGACCATACTTGCTGTGGAGCAGCAACAACAACAACAATCAACAACAGCAGCAGCAGCATAGCATATCAAGTTCACCTAGACCAGATACATTAGGCAAGGCAAGGCAAGGCAAGTTTATTTATATAGCACATTTCATACACAATGGCAATTCAAAGTGCTTTACATAGAAGAAATTAAAATAATCAAAATAAATCAGAATAATTAAAACAGTTTAGAATAAAAAATAAGAAATAATGAAAAATAAAAATTATGATAAAAATAAAATACAGTAAATTAAAACTATTTAGAATAAAATGAAGTGCAGTAACAGTTAACATGTTCATTAATATGATAAAACTATTTAGATTTGTCATGACTGATATGACCCCAGTCATTTTTGTTTAGAAACATTCATATTTTGATTTAGTTAGGATGTATTCAATTGATCAAAAGTGACAGTAAATACTTTTACAAGAATTATATTCTAAATACATGGTGTGTTTTATTTTTACTTTCTGTTCATCATAGAATCCTATAAACAAAAATGGATTACACAAAAATAATTGATCACCAGATCACCATAGTAAAGGATCATGTGACACTGAAGAATGGCACATTTATAGTGTGTAATGACATTTATGATGTATAAAGTTTTCAAATAAAAGCTTTATGTTCCTCAAAAGATCCTGATGAAAAAAAAATGTATCATGGTTAACTCAAAAATATTAAGAAGCACAACGGATTTCAACATTGATAATAATAAGAAATGTTTCTTGAGCATAAAATCAGCATTAGATTTCTGAAGGACACATGTTGACACATCATGAAGACTGGATGCTGAAAATTCATCATATGAATTACATTTTAAAATGTATAAAAATAGATATTATATAATTATATTAGATTTCACAATACCACCATTTTACTGTAATTTTGATTAAATAATGCAGGCATGGTGAGCAGAAGAGACTTTTAAAAAACATTCAAAATTCTTTTGATTTGATGTTTTGAGCGGTACTGTGTGTACTATAAAATTATATCCTCTCTATCTCTCTCTCTCTCTCTCTCTCTCTCTCTCTCTCTCTCTCTCTCTCTCTCGTCTTCAGGCTCTGAACAGGGGCATCGCTTCTGTAAAAGAGGACAAGGTTGAGATGTTGGCCAGCTATGGTCTGGCATACTCGCTCATGAAGTTCTTCACTGGACCAATGAGTGACTTTAAAAATGTGGGACTCGTGTTTGTCAACAGTAAGAGGGAGAGGACCAAGGCGATCCTCTGCATGGCTGTGGCGGGGGTCATCGCCATCATTCTCCACATCCTCATTGGTGCGTCTCTTGTGGATACGTTATGCTGTAACTATAAAGTTTCATGTTGGCGACAAAGCAGCTGCTAATTTGCATAGTTTACTACATTTCCTCAAACCTGTTTTGAAAACTGTCATATTTTCCCAGCTTACACAGATCTGGGCTACTACATCATAAATAAGCTCCACCATGTGGATGATTCAGTTGGAAACAAGACGAGGAAGGCCTTTCTGTACCTCGCAGTATTTCCAATATTAGATGCAATGGTAAGTGTGAAGCATTTATTATAACCTTAATAAGTAATTCCAAATACAGCATCATCTAAAGCCATATTTTAGACTTCTGGTGAAGTACAGGAAATACCAAGTCATGTATTTGTTTGGAATAATAGACTATTTATAGCTCTACTTCTTACTGCATGCTTAAAGATGCAGTAAGCGATTTCTGTGAAACGTTGTTGGATGTACAGATCGCTCTGAGCACCAAACACAGTTGTGGCCAATCAGTAGCAGTAGGGGGCGTATACACTCATGATGGGGGAGGAGAGAGAGTGAGAAGAGGGAGATTGAAGAAAGACTGTAGAAAGAGAGATGCCTTAGAGATATTACATTAGAGAAATGGTCAGAGAAATATCTCTGGAAAAAGAAGGGCAAGATCTTTAGGACCTGTGTTAATATTAGACCTGAAAACAGAGACGCCGAGGTTGCGTTGTTTCTACTCCATCCATAAATGTTAAACATTGGTTTTGTTATTTTCACAGAACCAAGATAGGCTTTTGTTGCTATTTTAGGGACTGTTCGTTTTTTATTTAAGGAGCCACCGGAGGAGATTTGACTTCTGTAGTCAAAAAAGACTTGAACCTCCCTTCGCCAACAATATTTTTTTCTATGGCCCTCCAAAATGATTGTGAAAAAAGGCATGAGCCTCCCCGATAATGTATTGATTACATTTGTAGTGGTTTGCGCTTGGCAAAGATGTTCAGATAGCCATTTTTTTTTTTTTTCCGTTTTTTTTACAACCATGTCAAATGACTAAACTCCTGCTTTCTTATTTTACTAGAGCTGTAACTATAGACCAAACCTACCTAAAATTCGGTTCGCATCATGATTTTTTTATTTGAAAAAAAAAAAAAAAGTTTTCGGTGCTGATGCAGTGGTGATGCGTTCATGTAACCTGTAAGGGTGGCACTGCCAATAAAGTATCTAAAAGCTGCCACAAAGAACCGGCAAAAGTAATGATTATGAATATGTCAAAAATAGCAAGGAGACATTTTAATTGTTTCTTAAACAAACAAGTCTTTGTCAGTGTCAGCTGCAAATATAAAGGTGACGATGCTGGCTCGCAATCTTCGCAAGTAATGAAAGTGCCAGAGAGAAAAGCACATTTCATACGGATTACATAAGCAGAGCAGTCTGTAGTCTGTTTTCTTTTGTTAAAAAGTAGATATTTCAAGCTTTTATATATTTATCAGGTATGTGAGGCAAGTAGCCTACGTTAGGCTATACGTTGAGTTTCGGTTCATTTATTAGACTATTATTAAAGTCCAGTTCACGCGCCGGCGCCTCCATGTCATTATGATCTATTTTCTACTATATTAACTTCTTATTTATTAAATCCAGGCAATTGGATGTTGAAACATTGATTAAATTAAGATACAATCAATAAAAAATGAAATTCACTTTAAAGAAAGGTTTTGTGCTTTCTGTTTGAGGTTGCTGTAAAAGTTTTAAAGCCACTTTTTAGTGCGGTCATGCCCGTGACTGAGAACTGTTGCGTCTGTAACATTTTTTCCCCTCATAAATGTGAACACACACGCAAAAAAATGTGGAGGCCGACCCTTCCTCATCCGGTGGGTAGTAGCTAGTTTTGTATATTTAATTTTTTTTTTTTTTTTGTGTATTTCCCTCATGTTTAATATAAAACGTGTATAAATGTGTAGACTGATATTTTTCTGATGTCTGGACTCCTTTATTAAGGGAGAATGAATATATAAACAGACGTTTCAGGAAAAAATGCATTTTCTGCGAACTTATTTCAAGTATGGACTGCAAATGTTGCTGGAATTGCCCGATTTGAAAGAATTTTTTAATTTTATTTTTATTATTATTTATTTTTTATGTAGGATCTACGTATTTTATTATGTTAACTTCAAACGTCTAACACATCACACTCCACTGTTATGGTGGCAATTTCAGTAGATTTACTCATTAACATTGTTGTGGAAATATATAAGTATTGTGCTACAGCGCACATTATTTCAGCTGCAGTTCTGGCGCCTCGGTCCCAATACTTTAAAACTTGTCGTGTATTCACATCACATATTAATGCGGCGGTAGAGTTATTCGCAATCACAAAAGTTAATTGTTTGATTGTTCTTTAAAGCTTTGCTGGGTAAACATTTCATTGGCTAATTGTTTATTGTTCTAATTCACTTTTTCTGAGCACGTAGCCTACTGAAGAGCGCCAAACTGGATTTTTGTTGGGTCAAACCCATCTGAAAGCGATGGGAAGCCGAGACCGAGAGAGCTACATAAATGGAAAAAAATATGCACCAAACAAGCCACTTTGAAATTTAGCCCTCAACAAAGAATAAAAAGGACATGACCCTCCCCTATTTTCCTCCAGTGGCCCTTTCCATAAACACCGAATAGTCCCTTAACTATAGTAACAGTTTTGAGTATTATTGTTTGTCTGGAGCTGGTGTGCTACTGGCAACTAACAACCAACTGTTGCTTTTATATGCTTTTGTGTACTGTATGGTAATTGTTTGTTCTTCCTTATCACTCGTTTGTCATCTCCGATATATGACACTGCATTTCATCCATTTTGGGTGGAACAGTGAAGGGAGGGAAATGTTCTCATTCAACCATTGAATTTCAAATGTGTTTACTGCACCTTGAAAGGGTAATGTAAGGGATGTTAGGAATTAAGGTGGAATGTCTGGCTTGATCCCAGCAGGAGGTGTCCAGTTCCATTTGTTCACTTAATTTACCCATTGAAGCAGGTAGAACAGAGCAGTTGAGCAGGGAATACAGGTGTGAATGTGGTTTCTTGACAAAAACAGAAATACAAACTTTAATAAAGATAAATCATATTAAAATGACATAAGGAAAAGATGCACAATATAAAAAAAGAAACCGTGGAAAAGAAAGTTGCATTTTTCATGAACACTCAAATATCAAGCAGCTCCAAAGTCTCTCAATCTATTGTGAATTAATGCAGGCATTTATAAATCGGGATTCATTAGCACACAGATGCCGTGATTGGTTAATTAGAGAGCATGTACAAATCAATAAACCGCCAAATAAAGACAAATTAGAAGGCAAATGAAATTGGGGCATCTTACTGAGGCAAAAAGGATTGTATTTATTGAAAATAATAAACTTTAATACAGGCATTATATTATAAGTACAATGATTTTGTTTTTCAATGACTCAATTACTCACCTTCATGTCGATCCAAACCTATAAGACTTTCGTTGATCTTCGAACCACAAATGAATATATTTTAAATGAAAGTTGAGAGATTTCTGTTCCTCTGTTGACAGTCCACGCAACTACCACTTTGTCACTTAAACTAATTCATATGAAATGAGCAGTTTAGTCCAAGTTTCCTTTCGAAAGGGAACTCGCACTGCGTCAATGACACTATGGAGAATGCCTCTGCATGAATTGGTGTCTGAAATGCTTATCTAATCATGGTAATCCTATTGGTCGGCAACAGCCTATGCTATCACTAGTGCGGCCTGGAAGTATATAAGGGGAGCCATGGAGAACATCAACAACTTTTTAGTCTTCAGGGACTGTTTTGTCTGTAAACAGAGTGGCCCTAATCTGCAATTCCTCTCCCCAAGCGTATCAGTATCCAGAACAGTCCCTATTTGTATCAGCCCTGAGGCTGGACCCATAATGAGCTATTCCTTCAATTTGGAACCATTCAATTTGTAGGCCCCCTCCCTTTATGAGAGTTTTTAGTAAGGTTGAGCAGTAGACCACGGTTCTCTGTTAGAAAGTATCTTAGGGGTGTTAGGTAGGGTTTTTATAGGAGGGTGAATTTAGGGCCCTGAATTCCTATATATCCTATATGTTGGAGTCGGCAGGCTCATTTAGTGGGTAGTGCCAATCTGTAGTAGTGAACAGGTTGGCTTTATTATATGGAAAATTGCCAAAAATGGAAATACGAATTGGCGCGTCATAGATACGCAATCATTCTGCTAGAAAGTAAGAAGCAGTATGCTCACGCCTCCGCCCTTTAGAGCCGAGTATCCACAAGTTTCCTACGCCCCATGAGGCCTTGCGTCAAAAGTGGGCGCGTCTTCTGGTTCGAAGTAAACAAAGCGCGACTTGACATGCTTGACACTCGTTCATTCAACAGTTGACAGTCATTCAAGTTATAGCGATCCAAACTAGCTAACGATGTAGGAACACAACCTCAACGAAATTAAAAAGGGTGAAATAACAGTACATTTACCCTCTGCAGTAGTTGGTTGGGAGTATTATAATAACATTATTAATAATCAATACTTATCAAGGCATGGTGACAGACAGTTGTGCGAGCTGACAAACAATTAAAATAAAAAATACACACTTAGTCATTGTGCTTTGGTGTTTATTCAAAATTATAAATGAATGTGCTACTTGAATACATTAACTGGCACATTTTGTATTCTGTCAACTCAGGCTTTGATCCTGAGTTTAGGTGTAACATCAGTAGCGAACAGCCAATCACATGCTGATAGAGTAGAATATTAAGAATCTAAACTAATGTAGACAGGAAGATTCGTCGTCTTTTGGGAGGTGATGGAAACTGATGGAAATGATGGAATGGGATGGAAAAGATGGAAATCCAGTCGTTGGCAGGATTTCGGCTCTGATTTCGTTTCCGGCTTATGTTCAAAACACTCACGTTTAAGCCACTGAATTAGTTTAGTCCAGTTATACGTACAACCGCGAACAGCACATGTTGTCCCTGAGCTCCGTAACGACATCTCTCATAAAGATTTGCGTCTTTAAATAGTAAAATAATTCACAACACACAAAACACACAAAATACCATTGGAATGCTACTTCCGCCGCCGTAGCGGAAGTTTCACCCACTTTATTTTTTTACAGGAGCGCCCCCCGGAAACTTGTGGATAGTCGCTAGTTTTTCCAGTTAGGCCTTAAAACTGACAGAATTTTTTTTTCACTGAGCCCTTTGAATAAAATAATAGTCATAAGGTTGAATGTCGTTGGCCACTTACTGTGGCCTCCATATCCTTGGCTTTAACAGGGAGTGTAAAACCTGTCTTGTAAAAAATACAAGATAATAGGCATCGGCCCTGATACATTTCTCAGGGTCATACTGATAGTAGTCCCCCTGTTAGGGTCATTATTTAGAGTAGCTTGCAAACCATAGCTCAATGATGTCAAAGTGGTAGTTGTGTGTAACGCCGATGGGGACAGAAATGTCTCACATTCCATTTAAAATATCTTAATTTGTGTTTCGTAGATGAATGAAATTAACGAAAGTTACAGGTTTGGAACTACATGAGGCAGAATAATGTAATGATGGTAAATGGTGACAGATTTTTCACTTTCGGGTGAACTAACCCTTTATGCTTTTAATTGAATATAAATGTTACATATTCTTTTAATTTGTTCTGTTTTGATTTTGCTGCAAAGGCGTGGATTCATGCTGGCATCCTCCTGAAGCATAAGTACAGTCTGCTAGTAGGATCTGCCTCCATCTCTGATGTTGTTACACAGGTAACAATACCACCCTGTTCCAAAATTAAAAAAGTGTTGTAGTTACCTTTGAAATGTCATATTTAGGCCTGAAATTCAAAAGTTAGACAACTTTTCTAATAGCAAAGAGGCAGAGAACAGCAGGGAGCAGGAGTTCTGGTAAAAGCTGGCAGTTTATTAAACTAACCATAGTTGTCTTTCTCATTGATGGCCTTCTGACTAGCACAAACAAAGCATCATTATAACAAGAAAAGGCAAAGGAAAATGTTATTTTCACAACATTATCTGACTTTAAAGAGAGACCAAAACAAGTTTATATACAATCATGTTAAAAAGTTTCAGGTCGGTAAGATATTTTGATATTTGAGTAATATTGTGAGATATTATTAAATATAAATAGCCATTTTCTATTTTAACATATTTTAAAATGTAATATATTCTTTTGATCGCAAAGCTGAAATTTCAGCATCATTACCCCAGTCTTCAGTGTCACATGATCCTTCAGAAATCAGTGTAATTTGCTGATTTTAATGCTTTAGAAACATTTAATTATTATTAATGCTGAAGTGCTTTATATTTTTGTACACAAGTACACAACATAAATGTATAATAGCATGATTAAAAATATTATAATAATTTATTGTACATGCTATACAATTTGAAATTGAAATTGAAATGTTTATGCATTTTTGTGTTGTACTTATTGTACTTGATAATAATATCAGTTAAAAATATTATACAAATTATATGATTTAATTAAATTATTATTAAATATTTTATTATTTCATCTATATATTTAAAAAAAAAAATGTCACATGGTGTATATGTAAATCTAAGGTGCGTTCCATTCGACAGGGTCCCTACGCAGTGTTCACTGCTCTGAACACGGTACATCAGTTGAACTTCGCTGTCAACAATCATTCACTCGTTTGGAATGCCCTGAAACGTCATCAAAGAAAGGCAACAACAGGGTCGCACAGATTATGATATAACATAATTAAATGTTGTAATTTACTTTTCTTTCTAATTTAAAATCATATAGGCCTAAAGATACATTTATCACCCCAAACCGTTCATAAATACTCTAGTTTGTAATAATAATAATAACAATATTTAACCCTCTGGGGACTAAGGGCTATTTGGGCTCCTTGGGATGTTTTGATGTTTTGTTTAGTTATTTATAAACATGTTAATAGCAAAGGTGTAAATTCACTCTATATAGCACAGACGAGGCTACCATAATACATGGTCAACATGTATGTACATGTTTGTATTTTTAAGAGAATATTGTTTATGCGTGGTTATACATTTTTGTTTAAATGAAAGTTGCTGAAATAAGACCACAAAACACATAATAAATATGTGTCCACAAGACTTTTGACTAATGGATGTTGGTTGTTGCTTCGAGTTCTGGCTTCAAAATGATGTGAAAATTATTCTGCCCATTCCTTTACATAAAACACAACATACTCAATGCGTACGTAAACTCAGACCCATTAGAAATTTTAATTTAAAATCTCTTCCAATGGCTCTGCTCTATGGTTAGTTCCGACTGATGATGCGGTGTACAATGACGGTTGGTTGATTTTCGCTCTCCACTTCCTGTGAAGTGATGTATCGATGTTCCCTTATTCCCTACGCCGTTGGCAGTGCCCTAAACATGTCAAACTGAACATGTTCCTTCCCTTCGGATTGGAATCTCACTTAAGATGGCGAAACACCCTATGAAGTCCACTTCGCACTCCACATACCGTCGAATGGAACGCACCTTTAGTCATTTGTTTTTATTCAAGACGAATGTTCTAGCTGATGAGAGAATATTGAATGTCTAAATTTTGCAGGTTTGTCATGAGTTTAAACATGCACTCAAACTTGCCTAATATTTAATTGATTCTTACTTTCCAATTCACCTGCAGATAATATTTGTGGCGATCCTTCTCCAGAGTAACCTGGAATGCTTAGAGCCTCTTCTTATTCCCATTCTCTCTCTGTACATGGGAGCTCTGGTGCGCTTCACTATCGTAGGACTGGGCTACTACTGTAACATCCACGACAACATCCCAGAATCAAACAGTCTCGATCAGGGGGTACGTACCTCAAAGCAGATTTTTGCAGAAATTCTTTCTAGAAAATTGCTTCCTATATTTAGGAGGACTATACTTATGGTCACTTTCAGGGCGATGTCACCATAAGGAAGATGCTAAGTTTCTGGTGGCCGCTTGCACTCATTTTAGCCACTCAGCGCATCAGCCGACCCATCGTCAATCTGTTTGTCTCTCGGGACCTCAAGGGCAGCGCTGCATCAACTGAAGTGAGTACTGATGGGTGCTAGTATGTACTGCAGCTAACAGTAAAACACCGCAATCTGTAATTGAATTGTGTGCATTTGCTAGGCGGTAGCAGTCCTCACAGCTACATATCCGGTGGGTCACGTGCCCTACGGCTGGTTAACAGAACTACGTGCCGTCTATCCAGCTTTTGATAAGGTCAGTGGTGGTTTTTATTATTAATTGCATAGCAAGCAGCCTAAATGTCACAGCAATTGTCTTTCATTGTTTGGTATGAGTATTTATATAAGACCCTATTTTGGTTTGTCCTGGGGCTTTGGAAATTTTTTTTTTTTTTTTTTTTTTTTTTAGTCAACACCCGATGACTAGAGTTCACCATAAAATGCCTCATCCTTAAGACCTGTAATTACATAACATTGAAATACCTGCAACAGTCAGACATGCCTGATGTGGTGTCTGAATCAACTTATTTAGGTTTTTTCATAACCAGTATCAGCTCTGGAGCCAACGGGTATGTTGTCTTGGCGAGTTTAAAGGAGTTTAGGTTGGGGAGAACTTGTTTTGTAACTTTTAAATGCTGTTTTTTTTTTCCATCACTGGCACTTAATGTTCTTCTGGTAGGCGAAACAACAACTTTTCTTTTTTATTGGTTGATGCACATTGTTGTGTTTTGGGTCTAAAAACACATTTTTGCTTTTAGATGGTTTGATTAGATTGTCAAATTAGAATGTTTTCAAGCATGGATTGAAAATATTACATTGCTTTGTCTTTCTTTGTTAAATCTTTCCAAAACAATTTTTTTTCCATGCATAGTGGTTTAGCTTTATAATTGAACCTGTATCATTTTTTTTTTTTTTTTTTTTTTACAGAATAACCCTTCCAATAAGTTTGCCAGTGGTCTGACAGTCACCACAACACACATCAAGAGGTTCACACTCTGCTGTTTGATTCTCTCCTTAATGGTAAGGTCTTGTTGTCAAATATCTCAATGTGTGGGTGGGGTCACTATTAATTTTTAAAGAAAGCAAAACTTTTATTCAGCATGAATGCATTAAATTGATCAAAAGTGTGGTCAGAATTAATGGCACCCCTGGTAAATATGATCAAAATGGCAGTAAAAAAAAAATCATTGTTTATCCTTTTCATTAATAAAATCACAAAAATTCAATGTTTCATTGAAGTAAAAGAATTGAAAGAGAGGAGGAATCTCATGAAATAAATGCTTTTCTCCAAAACACACTGGCCATAATTATTGGCTCCCTGTTATTAAATATTTTTGCCAAGATAACTCTTGAGTTTTCTCCTATAATGCCTGATGAGTTTGGAGAACAATTGACAAGAGATCAGAGACCATTCCTCCATACAGATCATTCAGATTCACAAGTTCATCTTAGTGCTTCTTCTCTTCAGTTCAGACCACTCATCAGGTCAGAGAACTGGGACGGTCATGGCAGACGCTTCATTTTGTGCTCAGGGACACATTTTTGTGTTGATTTTGATGTTTGTTTTGGATCTTTGTCCTGATAGAAGATCCAACCATGGCCCGTTATAAGGTTTCTAGCAGAAGAGATCAGGTTTATTTTTATTTTTTTTATCTGTCAGAAAAAAGTAATTTGCTTTAATCCATGATACTATGTATCTGAACAAGATGTCCAGGACCTCAAGCAAAAAAATAGGCCCACAACATATAATATCCAGCAGTATATTTAACCGTAGACATGGGTACTTTTTTATCCCTGTTTGCACCAAACACATCTGGTGGGTTTGTAGCCAAAAAAAGCTTTTTTTTAGTTTCATCTAACCACAGAACCCTGTGCCGTTCCAGTTCCAGTCGTGTCTGACCACTGAATATGCTGGAATTTGTTTTTGAAGGAGCGAGGAGGATTTTTCTTGAAACTCTCCCATACAACATGTGGTGATGTTGGGGTTGTTTGATTATTTTTTTTAATAGGCTTTCTGACCCTAAGACTCAACTAATCTCTGTAATTCTCTATCTGTGATCATTGGAGAGTCTTTGTCCACTCAAACTCTGATCCTCACCGTGCTTTAAGACAATATAGACACATGTCCTCTTCCTGACAGATTCGTAACATCTTTAGTTTATAGGAACTTCTTACTTATTGCCCTGATGGTCAATTATTTCGCAATTTTCTTACAACCACTTTCTATTTTGTGAAGCTCAACAATCTTTTGATGCACATCAGAACAATATTCTTTGGTTTTACTCATTGTGATGGATGATTAGGGAATTTTGGATTTTTGGCCATTTTTAATCATATTTACCAGGGGTTCCATTCATTCTGACCACACCTGGGGCCTGTTTCAGAAAGGAGGTTAAGTGAAAACTCTGAGTATGTTAACTTTGAGGGAAACTCTGGGTTTTGCGTTTCAGAAAGGGGGGTAAGTTAACCTGAGAAAGCAGAGTAAGTCAAGCCCGTTTCTGAAAGAGAGGTAACTTATACTCAGAGTCAGTTACCATGGTAACTTACTCTGTGAACCTAACCTGGTCGGGAGCAGGTTTTCTTCAGTAAACCCAGAGTTTCTTGCGGTCTCCTCCCCTTTTTTAAAGAGGAAGTGCTGTTTAAACACCAACAATAATAAAAATGTATTTACACATTCTTTAAAGAATATTATATTGTTTGTCCATGACTAATTGACTAAATCTGTTTTGCAGCACTTTGCCAAAAAATAAAAGGATTTAAAACGTTTGGTAAACTTTTTTTTACTTGATTACCACCGTTTTTGATCATATATTTCGGTCCCACTTTATATTAATTGGCTTTAAGTACTATGTACTTACATTGAAACAAATAATTTGATACAATGGACTTATTGTGTACATGTTTTTACATTGTACTTATATTTTAAAAATACCAGCATGTAATTACAGCTGTAACTAATTTATGTAATTACATCTGTAATTACAAAGCTGACCCATACTTGTACTTAAACCTAACCCTAAACCTATACCCATACCACCACACCTGTCCCTTACCCTACCCATATCCCACCTCAATAGCAGCAAAAGTGTTTTACAATATACAGCATCAGCACAATAAGTACATTGTACTTATTTTTCAATATAACTACATAGTAATTAAAGCCACTTAATATAAAGTGGGACCATTTAAAAATTGGAATAAAAACATATAATATAATAAGTTATTAATGATAAAAAATAAGATGTTAATCTTATTATCAATTATTGAAGTTAGTTGATTAGATATGTTTTATTGAACAAATGTTTAATTTATCTAACTGTCATTTTAACTGATAACCGTAATTTAATAATTTTTTAATACCATAAACCGCGATATTTTCTGAGACTGTTCTCATACTGTGAAACTCTCCCCACATGGGGGAGTCCCCCACCCCCACTGTTAAATAAGTTACTCAGCGACTTTAACTCATGTTTTAAATGAACTACTTTTTACTTGAGTAGATTTTTAGACTGGTATTTTTACTTTTGCTTAAATAAAAATGTATCAAAGTAATAGTAGCCTACTTTAGGTTGAATAACATTCTTCCAGTTTCACCTCTTGATATTATAACAGTAAATTACTCTAAAATGAATTATTAACTACAAATGACATCTTCAACGGTGTAGTTAGATTAATGTAATAATTAGGCTACTATCTCTAGAAAGTATTGGTCTACATATTACTAATTGCTAATAAATCCTATATCAACCTAAACACTTGAACAATACAAGGAGGAGAAACAAGAAACTGCCCTTTTAATTCTTTCAAATTAACAATATACAATTGCATGAATTATTCTTGAATTGGTCAAAGTGTGTAGAGGGAGAAGGTTACATAAAAAATATACCTTTTAAAATGTATGTTAAATCCACTATTGTTTTATACTGAATTGGTCTATAGTTTATGCTGTAGCCTATTAAATGTAATTGCATCATATTTTATTTTAAATTACAGAATAATTAAGAGTAATCCCTTTAATTAAATTACAATATTTAGATTACTTGGTAATTAATCACACCCAACACCTCTTTTTGTCTGGCACTGTTGCCATGGTGACTCATAATATCTGCGCTCCATTGATAATGGTTTTTTATAGTTGTGGTGCACGCGCTTAACCCTGAGTCAGTCAACTCAGAGTTGATTGAACTAACTCATTTCAGCTGTTCTGTAACCGAAAACTCAGAGTTTCCCATCTCAGGGTAAGTCAACTCAGAGTTCAAGCTTTAACTCAGAGTTGGTTGAACCTCCTTATTGAAATGGGCCCTTGTATAATTACAATTTTTTTTTTTTTTAAATAAATGCTTCTTTTGAACTTTTAACTGTTTATAGCTTTGATATTAATAAGAAATGTTTCTCAGATCAACATTTTAGATGAGTTCTGGAGGATCATGTGAAACTGAAATGTATTTTAATTCATTATTTTTTTTGGTATAATTTTTAATTATGATGTTTGTTTTTTTTTTTGTTTTGTTTTTTTGTTTTTGCAGCATCACTAAGGGGATAGTGAAAATTGAAAAATGAAATCTGTCTTCATTTACTCACCCTCAAGTTGTTCCAAACCTCCATGAGTTTCTGTCTTCTGCTGAACATAAAAGAAGATATTTTGAAGAAGATTGTTATCCAGACAGCCATTAAAAAAAAAAAAAATACTATGGAAATCAATGGCTACCATCAATTGTCTGCTTGCCAACATTCTTCAAAATGTAATGATGTGATAATGTGCACAAAATTCTTTCTGTTAAAAGAAACTCATGCAGGTTTGGAACAACTTGAGGGTGAGTAATGTTTGACTATATTTTGTGGGTGAACTAGCTCTTAAACTGTCGCCAACACTTAAAACAGTGTGGATTTTTCACATGCCATGTATTCAGTAAACGCATAAATTTCAGTTCCCACCTAGGTTGTAAACCCCTACTTTGTTGTTTACTTGTTTTGCTTTCACCTCAGGGCCTGAAGACAAAAAAGAAAAACAACTAGCTGAAATGAGTCACAATTTATATAATGTAAGTCCAACAGTGCTGTTGGAAAGCAGATGTTAGACACATGGAGAAGGTTTTACTTCACAATGGGGAAAAAACAAACAAACGTATTTTTATTTTTACAATATGCAGTCAGGATAAACAATGTACACTTTTTGTGAAAAAGCAAAAGGCCGAACCAACTATAGAGATGGACATGTCACAGTTTTGGATGCTTGTTTTTGTTTTCCATGACATGACTTGTTGGTAGGTGTGTGTTGTGTAATTATGGATTAGAGGATTGGATCAAATCGAAATTAACAGCACAAATTAACAACTTTCATTGCACACCCTCTTTTCTGAATGGAGATGCAACACCTATGTGAGATGTCTCAAAACAGCCTGAAGATCTTTGGCAGCTCTCCTGCTTCTTGTTTCATAATCATAGCAGTGATAACAACAGGGTTTTTTTTATTTTTTATTTAGGGGACAAATGTTGCTGCATCAATTGCACAGGTCTGCAGGATTTCTTAGAGGATTTTTAAGTTTTCATTCACATTTCCTTAACTTTATCTACAGAAATGCTTTGATGTTAATGGTGCAAACTCATAAACTTAAAGGTGGAATACCTAAGATTTTTGCATTAAAATATCCCAAAATCACAAGGCCAGTGTTATATATTTAGTTAAGATGATAACTTACAATATTCCAAATGTTTCAAACTATGTTTAAATCACGAGAAAATTGAGATTTTAACCAAGGAAATGGGACGTGTGAGCAGGGGTGAGCTGGGAGTCGCCAGTCATTCGCGTCATATCCGAGTTACCTCGGTTTCGGCTCGTACTTGTAGTCCTAGACAAATGCGGAAGTTGTAGTTGTACGTTAGCGTCTATCAAGCAACAAACATCAGCTTGTTTCGCGCATTTGTTATGGAATGGAGCACAATTCTTTTCAATTATTCTCGGAATGTGAACTGTTGGCTGTAAAGGGGGTCGCACACCGGACGAGAAGCGCCGCGCCACGTTTAGGACAACTCCACAGTATCGCAGACCGGACATGCACTTTCTCATCAGTGTATGGCCAGCAATATTGGTATGTTTAATGACATGAAAGGAAGATAATGTCTGTTCCATGTTATTGTACTGTACAATTAAATACAATTGTTGCTGAGTCTGCATTCTGAAAACTTTACCTCAGAGCATCCGTTCACTGAATGAATTGAGAATCTCACCTGAAAAATCTAATAACATCAGCTATTGTTATTCAAGCAGCTGATTTCTGTAAATGAATGCAAAACTAAATGCATATTGCAGCATATGGCGAAGTCAGGATCCATTAGCAACGATTTGAGACAAAAATAAGTCACTTCGTCCAGTGACTCGTCCAGTAACATCTGTGATAACTAATTTACTTTTAAACCTGACTTTTCTTGTGGTTATTTCAGTTTAATAAAAACAAGCATGTCATTAAACGCAACATTTATAGAAATCGAACTTTACCTCAACCATGACAACTAATTTTTGATTCCCGTCTGACTGATTTATCCACGGTGGAGTTGAAAACAACAGTTCCCATCAATCCGCGTTCCTCCACGGCGTCATCAAGCAAAGCCGTTGTTGTTGTTGTTTTGAATGTAGCGACCTCTAGCGCCATAAAATCTTAGGTATTCCACCTCCAGGTTGAACATGCATTGATCTGCTGGTCTGTTTACTGTATTGTTTTTGACAGTGCAAAATCGTTACGCTTGGTTTGGTTTTCAGAGTGTGAAAGGCTGAAAAACTAAAATTACTACGGGGTTATTGGAAAGAGCTGTGGTGAGGAGTGAGCAGTGAAGGTCAAAGCCAAGGGAACATTATATGACTCAAGCCCATCGCTTTTAACTTGGTTGGATATGGAGGATCTTTCACTGTAAACAGGCACGCCTGGCCTTTGTCTGACACTATTGTGCCAGAAGAGAGGAATGCCCGTGGGCAGGGCGTTGAGCAGGCCTGGCGTGAGACAAATGTATTATCTGGTCTTGCTGGAATGAGAAGAGTCTCATAACAAAGACAATCAAATCTAACTGGCACATCTAAATGTCCACAAAAATGTATACTAGACAAAATGCATTTGATGGTGCACATTTTTATTTCATTGACACACAATAAGGTTCAATTTGTTAACATTAGATACACACTACTGTTCAAAGGTTTGGGTCATTTAAAAAATAAATAAATAAATAATTGTATTTAGCAAGGACACATTGAATTGATCAAACGTGACCATAAAGAAATGTTATATAAGATTTCTGGTCATGCTTTAGTTTAGGGTCCAGTTTTCACTATAACTATTAATTACAATTTTTGCCTCAATAAACTTAAAATAATTACTGCTTTTTAATAGTTTGCAAGGTAGTTGTTAAGTGTAGCTATTGGGTAGGATTAAATGATGTAGAAAATGGTCAAGCAGAATAAGGCATTAATATGTGCTTTATAAGTATAAATATATCCTAGTAATATGCATGCTAACAAGCAAGTTGTTAATTTTGAGAATTGGACCCAAAATGAAAGTGTTACCATATTTCTATTACAAATACTGTAGATGCTGTTCTTTTAAACTTTCTTTTTTTAATTAGATCTTGAATCTTGAATCATTGTCCACAAAAAATATAAAGCTGCACAGCTGTTGGAGAAACAAACATGTTTCATGAGCACCAAATAGACTGATTTCTGGAGGATCATGTGTCACTGAAGAAGACTGAAGTCATGCATTAGGTAGCATGAACTAAGAAGACTGGCGACTTAAAATGAATTACATTTTAAAATATTTTATGGCATTTTGACACATAACTGATATATGTTCCTGTTCATTTCTCCTCCAGTTCATTTCAACTCCTGCTCATTTCTCTGTCTATGTTTGCCAGATGTGTTTCATTATATTCTGGACCCCTCATGTTTCTGAGCGCATCCTGGTCGATGTCATTGCGGTGGACACGGCCTTCGCTCAGCTCTGCATCATTCCACTGAGAGTCTTTTCCTTCTTCCCTCTACCTGGTACAATTTAAGTCTGTTATTTTACATTTTAACTTCATATACAACCTTATATCATGTGTAGTGCCTTACCTTGTGTCTGTGTGTACAGTTACGGTTCGAGCTCATCTAACAGGCTGGTTAATGACATTAAAGAAAACCTTCGTCCTGGCACCTAGTTCAGTTCTGCGCATCATTGTGCTCATCTCCAGTCTTCTGGTGCTGCCGTACATGGGGTTGGTATACAGTAGGAATATTCAAATATGCTGAGTTATCCTCATTTAAATATCATGGGAATGTGCTTCTGCTCAGTATGCAATCTGTGTAGTAATTAGCTGTCATGCTGCCTCTGGTTTATTTTTAGACCCACTAAAAATTCAATTCAAATCCCTGTCTGCAATTTGTGAATTAATTATGACTCTGCTCTAGAGCTTATGCAGACTGCTGCAGCAACATTTAAAATTAACTCAGAAAAATGTTCTTTAAAGACCACCTGTAGTGAAAATTATGTTTTTAATGTTGCTTATATCTGTGTGGTGTTTTTAATATGCTTTAAAGGGTTAATTCATCTGAAAATGAAAGTTTTGTCAGTAATTACTCACTCTCATGTTGTTCCAACCCTGTAAGACTTTCGTTCATCTTCGGAACTCAAATTAAGATATTTTTGTTTAAATCTGAGAGCTGGATCACTCCTCCATAGTTCCCTTTCGTTGTCACCCCGAGTTCCGTCAGATAACGACGAATGGGGTTTTGCTTAGAAAGCCTCTCGACTTTGAGTATTACAAAACTAGCCAATGGAAAAGAAATGCCACAAGAATTTGCATGGCGCAACTCCGCCCTATCTCGTGGGTATAAAGGATCAACCGACAAGATGGTCTACCATGTGTCATGTGTCGCAACTCGCCCGCCACCTCCTCTTATGGTGTCAGAAGCATCTGAGGTCGCTTCAAGCCATTTGTGTTCCGGGAGACCTGAACTGTGCAGCCGATGAGCTCTTACGCTTTCAGCCTCTTCCTGGACAATTGAGAGTCGGTTCAGCTGATTTGGGATCAGTTCGGGAATGCACCGATAGATCTGTTTGCCTCCCACGACTCATCCCACTGCGATCTGTTTTACTCTGTTTTACTCCCTGTCAGAGGGCACTGGCGCACAGCTGGCCATGGGGCCTTCGCAAATTTGCATTTTCCCCAGACCCTGTGCAAGATCAGGGAGGACGAGAAGCAGGTTATTTTCGTTGCGCTGGCCCACCCGGACCTGGTTTCCTGAACTTGTACCCCTCGCGACAGCACCTCGCTGGCCAATTCATCTGAGGAAGGACCTCCTTTCTTAGGGACAGGGCACCCTATGGCACCTTCGTCCCAATATCTGGATCCTCCACGTGGGGCACCTGGATGGGACGAGGTTGGTTTGAGTACCCTACCACCAGGGGCAGTGGCTACCATCAGTCCACAAGAATGCCGAGAAGACCCCAGTATATGCCTGATCAGTGTCATGCTTTCCTTCCTTGGAGCGAAGGCTGTCTCCCTCCAAACTGAATGTCTACATTGCCTGATCATCATAAGCATGACCTGATCATGAGGTTCCTGAGAGGAGCGAGGAGACTGAATCCTCCTCGTCCTCTCGTTCCCTCTTGGAAACTCTCAGTGGTTCTAACTGCCCTGTAGAGTGCTCCCTTTGAGCCTCTGCAATCAGTGGAGCTTAAGTTCCTGTCAATGAAGACAGCGCTCCGGCCCAGGTTGTATTGGCCTCCATTAAGCGGGTTAGGGACCTGCACGCATTTTCTGTAGATGAAGCGTGCCTGAAATTCGGCTGGCCTTTTCTAACGTGATCCTGAGACCCCAGCCTGGATATGTGCCCAAAGTTCCTACCACTCCCCTCCGGGACCAGGTGGTGAACATGGAAGCGCTGCCCCCGGAAGAGGCAGACCCAGCCTTGGCACTGCTCTGTCCAGTACGCGCTCTTCATGCCTACGTGAACGTGGAGGGAGACAGCCTTCGTTCCAAGGAAGCAAAAGCACAGGAAGGAAAGCATGACACTGATCAGGCATATAATGGGGTCTTCTCGGTGACTGATGGTAGCCACCGCCCCTGGTGGTAGGGTACTCAAACCTACCTCGTCCCGTCCAGGAGCCACACGTGGAGGTTCCAGAGATTGGGACGAGGGTGTCATAGGGTGCCCCGTCCCTAAGAAAGGAGATGAATTGGCCAGGGAGGTGCTGTTGCGAGGAGTACAAGTTCAGGAAACCAGGTCCCTGTGGCCAGCTGTGCACCAGTGCGTCCGTGCCCTCTGACAGGGAGTAAAACAGAGTAAAACAGATCGCAGTGGGATGAGTCGTGGGAGGCAAACAGATCTATCTGTGCATTCCTGAACTGATCCCAAATCAGCTGAACCGACTCTCCATTGTTCAGGAAGAGGCTGAAGGCGTGAGAGCTCGTCGGCTGCACAGTTCAGGTCTCCCGGAACATAAATGGCTCGATGTGACCTCAGATGCTTCTGACACCATAAGAGGAGGTGGCGGGCGAGTTGCGACACATGACACATGGGACAGGATGCAGTGTTTCAGGACCTCAGACCAGCTCTTTGTCTGTTATGGTGGGAAGCTGAAGGTAAAGGCTCTCTCCAAGCAAAGGCTGTCCCACTGGATAATGGACCCCATTCGTCGTCATCCGACGGAACGTCTCCGTTCCCTACTCAGGGACAAGGGTTTCATACGTAACCGAGATGTTCAATGTAATTGAAACTTGCCGGCCCAGAAAGTAAATAAAAACATTGTTAAAATAGTCCAAGGCTCACAGTCCAGTGAGCCTACGTTCTGACATAGCACTGCGCAAAATCACTCTGAGGCCCACATAGAAGAAAACAAATAGTTAAATAAAATCGTTACTTTTGTGGGGGTTTTTTTGTTTTGTTTTTTGTGCACAAAAAGTATTCTCGTCGCTTGATAAACTTATGGTCGAGCCACTGTAGTCACTTGGACTATTTTAATGATGTTTTTATTTACTTTCTGGGCCGGCGGGTTTAAATTACATAGAAGCGTATGGAGGAGTGATTCAGCCCTCAGATTTAATAAAAGAATATCTTAATTTTGTTCTGAAGATGAAAGAAAGTCTTACAGGTTTGAAACAACATGAGGGTTAGTAATTACTGACAGAACTTTCATTTTTGGGTGAATTAACCCTTTAAAGGCCTGTTCACAGCCGGACGAATTTCGCGTGCGATATTCGTCGATGTTTAACGCCTCGTGACTAAACAATGGGCGCCAATGTGAGTGTTCACACCGACGCGAAAAACGGCATGCCTAAAAGCGTCATTTTTTTAAAAAAACCTCGGGTTCGTTTTTTTGATTTGACACGCCGCGTCAAAACCTATCGACCAACGAGATTGGCGGGTTTGCTCACGTGTCTGGTACTTCTGAAGTTACAGTAAAAACACAACCTGGGGGCGCTGAAACACAAAACGGTCTTGCCGAGCACACAAACGGCGAAGAAGAGACAAGGCAAGATACCTATGGGCAAGATGAATGTTGAGCTTCTGGTCTCTGAGCATAAAGAGCTATATGATAATATTTATATTAGTATTTCTGTAATAATAGTATAGTATAGGGTGACCAACAGTCCTGTTTTCCCGGGACATGTGTAAAACGGCCACTTTGTGCTTTATAGAAATCTGAGTTGAGATGAGAACTGCGCATATGTGCGTAGTGTCGGTTAGATTTTGACAAGTGAGGAGAGGAGATAACCGCTCTGCCGACTCTTTGTATTCTTTCTTTTCTTTTTATTTTTCTATTGTGACCAGATGTTTGTTCGTGTTTTTTTTTTCTCGCTCGATCCCCATGTATGAGGACGATTGTAACGTTTGAGTGGTTTTATTAAACGCGGGGAAATACGACAACTCTCGTCTCTCGTGCATCTGTTCATCCGACAACTAGTGCTATGTTTTTATCTCTGGGCAACATCTCAACTTTGCGTTACACATGTCCTGTTTCCACGTCCTGTCCTGGCTGTTTTTAAGTGATGAAAATGTCCTGGTTTTCAAAAAAAAACTGCTGGAAAAGATCAGTTCTACTGCAAAATATAGATGGGCAAACAAGGTGGATGAGGAAGAAAAACAGGATTAAGAGGATGAAAATTAAAGATCTAAATAGAATTTGTTAGTTCGTTTTTGTAAGTTTGTGAGAGCTATTTTTTGTTACATTTGGAGGCATTTCTTTTAGTTATTTATTATATATTTATTTTTCTAATACAGAAGACATTATTTCTTTCATTATTTTATTTGTTTTTTTTTAATCTGTCATAATAAAACATTGAGACATGAATATGATCACCCTAGTACAGTAGCCTATTGTATTATCTGTTTTACATTAAGCGCCATCTAATGTCAGGGAATGAATTTGCATGTTCACTCGGCTCATCGTCAGCGAAAAACGCTTGGGTGTGAACACAAAAAACGCATTGAAAAACGCTGATGAAAAACGTGCGCTGATATTCGTCCCGGTGTGTACGGGCCTTAAGACAAACCATGTGCAAATTCATGTCAACACCATTTTCTCATTAAAACTGCGGTAAAAAAAGACGGTCTAGTGTGGTTTAATGTTTAATGTGGTTTAAAAATGCTGGTGTTCCTTGCGTCACAAACTTGTAACCAATTATGTCACGAGGGGGGTGAAGTTAACTATGCTGCAAAGCAGGGGAGTCTCAAGAGAAACCAGGTTATTCTGGTAAATTTTTTTCTGTTGAAATGAAAAATAGGGTGAATTGTATATATTTATGATGTTATTACGATGTATATTACGATGTTATGATGAAGGAAATGCCTTTCTCCACTGACGTTCTATTATGTTCAAAGCGTTTCTAAGGATACTGATTTTTAGAAGCTGTCTGACTCCGAGATGGCGAATGGGAACATGGTTTGTGTAACAATATATATTATTATTACTTTTTAAATTATTGTTATGTATCCGACGTTGTAGAGGGCGATGCATTAAACTCATTACATTCTGATACATCGGCATGTATACGATCACGAGGCTGTATGATTCACTCTTCCACTTCTTCTGAATCAGTGTCTGGTTCAAACATAAATGGCTGAATTAAACCAGTATTTCCGCTTGCAGCGTTAAGGTATTCTGAGCTGGTGTGAGTAAGTGGAGGCGGGGCTTTCCCACTTTCCTTATAAAGCAAGAGTTACATTAAAGCTATTTTAAGACATGAATAAAAAATGTTCAAAGGAAGAAAAAAACTTTAAATATGTCATTTTGGTGATCAAAGATTAGTTTTAAGGGATAAAATTGACTACAGAGCGACTTTATGGTTTGTTAATTAGAGCAATGTTGTGTTGCAACTGTACTGCACTGAATTGTAAATTTTTTCTGCTGGTACTGTATTGAAACCACATTTGTCATGTTAATGTTGTATGTTGCAGGGTTCATGGTGCCACACTGGGAGTGGGGTCTTTATTAGCAGGATTTGTGGGAGAATCCACCATGGTTGCAGTGGCTGCCTGTTATGTGTACCGAAAACAGGTGAGGAGCCATCAGACTCTGAAAGTCAACAGTTCGGCAGAAATCTTAAAGCTACCTTATTTTCTAAACACAGAATCAATGTTGTTCAATAACTGTGTAAAGTTAATCAATTTTAAAATGAATTGGATTTAGCTATGAAGCAGCTCTACAGAAGACAATAGTGCCATTAACCAGCTCAGTTGTGAGACTTACAAATTATTAGGCATTATAGATGAATAACTTGGCATATAAAATGGCAACACTATTTGCACTAAAAAGATGTGTTTAAGATTGAGCTTGAACTTGAGCTGTTGCTTTGTGATACGTTCAAAACATTTCTCTTTTTTTCCAGTGTTTACTGAGGGATTCAATTTGACTAACATTTTCCTGTCATTTAATTAGTTACTTCTGATATAGTTGCATTAAATACTGTTTAAAAGATAGAACAACTCTATATAAAACAGTAGTGGATTTAACAAAAACTGTGTTTTTAAATGTAACCTTCTCCCTTTAAATTACTTTGCTCAGTTCAAGGATTATTTATTTGAAAGAATTAAAAGAGCAGTTTCATGTCTATCCTTGTATTGCTCGACTGGGAGAAGTTGATGAGGGATTTAGAAAGTAATTAGTAATAAGTAATGCAATACTTTTTAGAGTTAATAATCAGTACAGTAATCTAATTACACGATTAAAGATGTAATTAGTACCCAGTAATGAATGCCTTTTTTTTAGAGTAACTTACTTTACATTGTGTATAATGTTATTCCAGTGTATTGTGTGTATATATATATTGCATATTTTAATAAAAAAAAAATCTTAATTTTGTCATTTTCATACATGACACCTGAAAGCAGTCTCGCATGGAGTCCGTTTAATGCAAATCAGGCGTATTATCTTCTCAATGCTCCTAGACCTTTAACATACTCGTGTTCAGTATCTATTCTGCAATATTTATTATTGTCAATTTGTGTTGTCTGAAGAAAACCCCAGAAGCAGAAACGGTTGTGGAGGAGAATAACTCTTCCCCAATGACTGAAATCACTTCCAGGATGACTGAAATCACTTCCAGGACAGAGTTAGACGTCATTGAGGAGGCTGAGAATGAGCTGACGGAAAGAGAAGATGAGTGAATCAAAGCATTGAAAGAATACTGCATACATGTTTTTTCTTTCATTTGGAGGTGGTGAAGAGGTGGATCTCTGCAGCAGTCCAGTGTCTTTTGGATTTGTGACAGATTTGCATGTCTACATCAAATGCACTCCTGCACTTTTTAAACTGGGGCATTTTTACAGACGTCTTCCAGAGTTTCTGTTCCGCAGCCTGTGGACATTTTTGGGGGGAAATGGAGAAAAAGTGCAACAAAGAGACATACTGTTTGCCACTTGCATTGAGATGCACATCGAATGCGAACACTTTCAGTGTATTATAAATTGCTTAGAAGGAATATATTTTACTGACTTGTGGCACAGACTAGATTCGATAAGTATATTTCAATTGATTTATTTTTGTATTCAATGTACAAATGTTGTATACTTTGCAAATGTCACTATGTAGTTATATAATACAGTTCTGAAGTACAGTAGACTTGGAGTTTTTATGAACGCATGATCTCTGATCAAGTCATCTGATCCAGTATTTTGTGCTGGGACCACATTAAAAAATCAATTTTATTTTGTTTTCCAGATCTTAGAAATGAACTATACACTTTTCTTTTAATATGTCTTTTGTTAACCCCCTCAGACCTGAATTATGTTTCAAGTTTCTGAAAAATATAAAAGAACATTTTCCCAGTTCATGAGGTTTCTATAAATGAAAACAAATTATTTTTTATATATATAATTGCTTTCATTGTATTATATATTTGATTTGATTGCTTTCATTGTATTATATATTTGAATTATATAATTGATTTTTTTTTTTGTCCATTCCAATGGACATCAGGTCAAAACAGGTGTACTTCCCAAAAATGTACCAACATGTAATAAATTAATAAAAATAAAATTTGTTGGTCTATATTTTAAGTTTTTTCTCAAGGTCAAAAAAATTCCAGCAGTATACCATTTCAACTATTATTTTGAGGTTTTTGTTTTACAGATTCCACATTGTAACAAACTAAATATCTTCGACTTAATCAATCTGGTCATATTAGAGTCATTTTCTGTGTGCATCTTTCTTTTTTTAGAACAATAACTTGAACACTATAACACTACAACTTTAATCGTAAGGTTTTTCCTTTATGTATTGCACATTTGTTTATTCATAACAAAATAAACCTAGGAACCAATCAATGTATTCATGTTAGAGTCATTTCCTGTGTGCATCCTGTGTTTTCTTGTATTTTTACTGTACTGGCAGGACGGTTGCCCGCAAGTCATTGTATTTCGATTCGTAGTCACTGTATTTCGAAACGGATGTGGGTTGGCGGACGAGCACCTCTATCAGAATCCAGAGTTTCAAGAAGATCAGAGAAACTCAAAATTTCGACCTGGAAAAAAAAAACGGCAGTGGTACCCCTTTCGTTTTTTTTTTTTTCGGGCGAAAAATTAAGTTTCTCCAATCTTCTCAAAACTCTGGATTCTGGTCGAGGGCCATGAGACTTAAACCTGAGTGCAAAAATGGAGGCTCTAGACCCTTCCAGAGCTGAGATATCGAAACTCAAAAATTCGACCTGGAAAAAAAAACGACAGTGGTACCCCTTTCGTTTTTTTTTTTTTTTTTCGGACGAAAAATTAAGTTTCTCCAATCTTCTCAAAACTCTGGATTCTGATAGAGGGCCATGAGACTTAAACCTGAGTGCAAAAATGGAGGCTCTAGACCCTTCCAGAGCTGAGATATGGAAACTCAAAAAATTCCACCCGGAAAAAAAAAACGACAGTGGTACCCCTTTCGTTTTTTTTTTCGGGCGAAAAATTAAGTTTCTCCAATCTTCTCAAAACTCTGGATTCTGATAGAGGGCCGTGAGACTTAAACCTGAGTGCAAAAATGGAGGCTCTAGACCCTTCCAGAGCTGAGATAAGGAAACTCAAAAATTCCATCCGGAAAAAAAAAACGACAGTGGTACCCCTTTCGTTTTTTTTTTTTTTTCGGGCGAAAAATTAAGTTTCTCCAATCTTCTCAAAACTCTGGATTCTGATAGAGGGCCATGAGACTTAAACCTGAGTGCAAAAATGGAGGCTCTAGACCCTTCCAGAGCTGAGATATGGAAACTCAAAAATTCCACCCGGAAAAAAAAAACGACAGTGGTACTCCTTTCGTTTTTTTTTTTTCGGGCGAAAAATTAAGTTTCTCCAATCTTCTCAAAACTCTGGATTCTGATAGAGGGCCTCGAGGCTTAAACCTGAGTGCAAAAATGGAGGCTCTAGACCCTTCCAGAGCTGAGATATGGAAACTCAAAAATTCCACCTGGAAAAAAAAAAACGACAGTGGTACCCCTTTCGTTTTTTTTTTTTTCGGGCGAAAAAATTACGTTTCTCCAATCTTCTCAAAACTCTGGATTCTGATAGAGGGCCATGAGACTTAAACCTGAGTGCAAAAATGGAGGCTCTAGACTCTTCCAGAGCTGAGATATGGAAACTCAAAAATTCCACCCAAAAAAAAAAAACAACGACAGTGGTACCCCTTTCGTTTTTTTTTTTTTTCGGGCGAAAAATTAAGTTTCTCCAATCTTCTCAAAACTCTGGATTCTGATAGAGGGCCGTGAGACTTAAACCTGAGTGCAAAAGTGGAGGCTCTAGACCCTTCCAGAGCTGAGATATGGAAACTCAAAAATTCCACCTGGAAAAAAAAACGACAGTGGTACCCCTTTCGTTTTTTTTTTTTTTCGGGCGAAAAAATTAAGTTTCTCCAATCTTCTCAAAACTCTGGATTCTGATAGAGGGCCGTGAGACTTAAACCTGAGTGCAAAAATGGAGGCTCTAGACCCTTCCAGAGCTGAGATATGGAAACTCAAAAATTCCACCCGGAAAAAAAAAACGACAGTGGTACCCCTTCGTTTTTTTTTTTTTCGCGAAAAATTAAGTTTCTCCAATCTTCTCAAAACTCTGGATTCTGATAGAGGGCCGTGAGACCTAAACTTGAGTGCAAAAATGGAGGCTCTAGACCCTTCCAGAGCTGAGATATGGAAACTCAAAAATTCCACCCGGGAAAAAAAAAAACGACAGTGGTACCCCTTTCGTTTTGTTTTTTCGGGCGAAAAATTAAGTTTCTCCAATCTTCTCAAAACTCTGGATTCTGATAGAGGGCCGTGAGACTTAAACCTGAGTGCAAAAATGGAGGCTCTAGACCCTTCCAGAGCTGCTATATGGAAACTCAAAAATTCCACCAGGAAAAAAAAAACGACAGTGGTACCACTTTCGTTTTTTTTTTTTTTTCGGGCGAAAAATTACGTTTCTCCAATCTTCTCAAAACTCTGGATTCTGATAGAGGGCCATGAGACTTAAACCTGAGTGCAAAAATGGAGGCTCTAGACTCTTCCAGAGCTGAGATATGGAAACTCAAAAATTCCACCCAAAAAAAACAACAACGACAGTGGTACCCCTTTCGTTTTTTTTTTTTTTCGGGCGAAAAATTAAGTTTCTCCAATCTTCTCAAAACTCTGGATTCTGATAGAGGGCCATGAGACTTAAACCTGAGTGCAAAAATGGAGGCTCTAGACCCTTCCAGAGCTGAGATATGGAAACTCAAAAATTCCACCTGGAAAAAAAAAACGACAGTGGTACCCCTTTCGTTTTTTTTTTTTTTCGGCGAAAAAATTAAGTTTCTCCAATCTTCTCAAAACTCTGGATTCTGATAGAGGGCCATGAGACTTAAACCTGAGTGCAAAAATGGAGGCTCTAGACCCTTCCAGAGCTGAGATATCGAAACTCAAAAATTCCACCCCGAAAAAAAAACGACAGTGGTACCCTTTCGTTTTTTTTTTTTTGGGCGAAAAATTAAGTTTCTCCAATCTTCTCAAAACTCTGGATTCTGATAGAGGGCCATGAGACTTAAACCTGAGTGCAAAAATGGAGGCTCTAGACCCTTCCAGAGCTGAGATATCGAAACTCAAAAATTCCACCGGAAAAAAAAACGACAGTGGTACCCCTTCGTTTTTTTTTTTTGGGCGAAAAATTAAGTTTCTCCAATCTTCTCAAAACTCTGGATTCTGATAGAGGGCCATGAGACTTAAACCTGAGTGCAAAAATGGAGGCTCTAGACCCTTCCAGAGCTGAGATATCGAAACTCAAAAATTCGACCCGAAAAAAAAAACGACAGTGGTACCCTTTCGTTTTTTTTTTTGGGCGAAAAATTAAGTTTCTCCAATCTTCTCAAAACTCTGGATTCTGATAGAGGGCCATGAGACTTAAACCTGAGTGCAAAAATGGAGGCTCTAGACCCTTCCAGAGCTGAGATATCGAAACTCAAAAATTCACCGGAAAAAAAAACGACAGTGGTACCCCTTTCGTTTTTTTTTTTGGGCGAAAAATTAAGTTTCTCCAATCTTCTCAAACTCTGGATTCTGATAGAGGGCCATGAGACTTAAACCTGAGTGCAAAAATGGAGGCTCTAGACCCTTCCAGAGCTGAGATATCGAAACTCAAAAATTCACCCGAAAAAAAAAACGACAGTGGTACCCCTTTCGTTTTTTTTTTTTGGGCGAAAAATTAAGTTTCTCCAATCTTCTCAAAACTCTGGATTCTGATAGAGGGCCATGAGACTTAGACCTGAGTGCAAAAATGGAGGCTCTAGACCCTTCCAGAGCTGAGATATCGAAACTCAAAAATTCGACCCGAAAAAAAAAACGACAGTGGTACCCCTTTCGTTTTTTTTTTCGGTGAAAAATTAAGTTTCTCCAATCTTCTCAAAACTCTGGATTCTGATAGAGGGCCATGAGACTTAAACCTGAGTGCAAAAATGGAGGCTCTAGACCCTTCCAGAGCTGAGATATCGAAACTCAAAAATTCACCCGAAAAAAAAACGACAGTGGTACCCCTTTCGTTTTTTTTTCGGCGAAAAATTAAGTTTCTCCAATCTTCTCAAAACTCTGGATTCTGATAGAGGGCCATGAGACTTAGACCTGAGTGCAAAAATGGAGGCTCTAGACCCTTCCAGAGCTGAGATATCGAAACTCAAAATTCGACCCGAAAAAAAAAAACGACAGTGGTACCCCTTACGTTTTTTTTTTTTTGGGCGAAAAATTAAGTTTCTCCAATCTTCTCAAAACTCTGGATTCTGATAGAGGGCCATGAGACTTAGACCTGAGTGCAAAAATGGAGGCTCTAGACCCTTCCAGAGCTGAGATATCGAAACTCAAAAATTCGACCCGAAAAAAAAACGACAGTGGTACCCCTTACGTTTTTTTTTTTTGGGCGAAAAATTAAGTTTCTCCAATCTTCTCAAAACTCTGGATTCTGATAGAGGCCATGAGACTTAGACCTGAGTGCAAAAATGGAGGCTCTAGCCCCTTCCAGAGCTGAGATATCGAAACTCAAAAATTCGGCCGAAAAAAAAACGACAGTGGTACCCCTTACGTTTTTTTTTTTGGGCGAAAAATTAAGTTTCTCCAATCTTCCCAAATTCTGATAGAGGGCCATGAGACTTAGACCTGAGTGCAAAAATGGAGGCTCTAGCCCCTTCCAGAGCTGAGATATCGAAACTCAAAATTCGGCCCGAAAAAAAAACGACAGTGGTACCCCTTACGTTTTTTTTTTTGGGCGAAAAATTAAGTTTCTCCAATCTTCCAAATTCTGATTAGAGGGCCATGAGACTTAGACCTGAGTGCAAAAATGGAGGCTCTAGCCCCTTCCAGAGCTGAGATATCGAAACTCAAAAATTCGGCCCGA